GTGATAATGGACTATGGAGCAAAGTTGTAAATAAATACACTTCTATTAATTTTCATTTCTGTAATGTCTACTCTCTATTGCTCGTGTGCGAAATAGTGCGTAGTCAGACTGTTAGTCATACATTTGAATGGTTGATAGAGTGGCTTGTGTATATAATTTGAATCAGTGTACCTAATTCTTTGCTGTTAACTTCATAATTATCTCAACTCTGGTAAAACATGTAATCTTTATTCTCGTATAGCATGTACTGTTCTTTATTCAGCTAGCTTTTTGGTATTTATTACTTTGGAATATCTGTTCTTACTTTACGCGTAATTGAACCAAAGCTCCCACCTAGAGCTAGTAAGCTCTTTAGGCATTGAGAGGTGAATTAGTTGGCCCAGTAAGGTTGTTTCTTGCTTTAAGGGCTTGTTTAGTTAGAGAGTCAACTTTATTAGGGAAGTTTTTATTAGAAAAGTAGTTAGGAAAATTGGTCAGTATTATATGGGAAGATATTAAGTTTTGTAATAAAACTTTGTTGGAATTTTATGAAGTTGTTAACTTTTTTGTGTTTAGTAAGAAATTAGCATAGAAAAAGTTGGGAAGAAAATTATTGAGTTATACATAGGAAAGTAGGGAATAATTTTTTTTTTTTTTCAAAAGGTGTGATAGGTTGAGAATTGTGTTAAAAAAATAAATACTAAAAATGCTACTCCTACCTTCCTTTGTTGTGGTATTAATATTTGAAAACACATAAACAAATCTGTAAAAGAGAAAGTTTATAAAAGTTTAGAATGAAAAGTTTTCCTCAACCAAGCAGCCCCTAAATGTTCTCAGCAGCACCCAAAAAAGAGGCATGAGTTGTTATTATCATGTGCATAAAGGTTAATTTATCAATGACTTAAGTAGTTTAATAATAATTTTTTTCATAAAAGTAAAAAATTTTGATTTCAAGTTAGATAACATACAAATGAGATAAAATAAAAAATTGAAAAAAAATTAACTTTTATTATATAATTTAAAATAAAAAAATAAAATAAACGGTCTCATCAGGACATCTTCAAAGATCTTATATGATGATTTTAAGCTTGTTTGGTGCAACTTATTAGAGTTGCAGCTTTCAGGATACTATTCATGTATTATCACTTTAAATTTTTTTTTTAAAAACTTACATTTTTGGATTTTTTTTACACTTAAAAGACCTTTGAACAGTGCAATATCAAAAACTTCAAATTCAAACTCCTCAAAATCTTTCTTGTTATTCACTTTTTCTTATCTCCAAAAGCTATTTTTAAATTTTCTCTCCAATAAAAATTTAAATTTATCACTTATACAGTACAAAAAAAGGGCCATCTTAGCAAAAGTAAACATCAATATATCACTTTTATCAAAAAAAAAAAAAACATCAATATATTATATATCTCATAACCACGGCCCCAAAGACTTTCTATAGAAAGAGTTGACTTGAGACAGTCTAACTTAATGGCAGGAACTAAGATCAAAAGCCAACTATAAAATGAAAGGGACACCTTCCGGCAATAGAATTCAAAAACCAAATGGTGGCTCCACATTGAAACTTGAAAGTCCCACAAAATTTTTGTGGTTAGAATTGGTAGACATACGCTGTTGCTTCTCTACTTTATAAATGGAAATTACTTAAACGAAAGTGTCACCAATCCCAAATAGAACACCAGCAAGAAAAAAGACCAGGTACAATTTATAGTACCGAATTGTGCCGAAATTATATTCTATTTTTCATTACCCAATCAACAAAAACAATGACCCTTGCCAGTCTCTTTCTACGAGGAAAGAAAAAGCTCTAAGTTTCACTTTGAATGCATCATCAAGGCATACAAATTATTCCCTCTTTATAATCTAATGTTAGCAGTTTCTTGTTCATTATATAATTGAAAAACAACACCTATGAGAGGGCCTCTTTTTGGCCATAGCTATGAAATTGACTGGAATATACAAAACTTTGGTAGAAAAAGCAGTGTAAATATAGAGATAGTATCTTTTAAGATTGGTTTAATAAAGTCTCTGATTTCTTAATTATTTCATTTAGGCCCTTCAAATTTCTTTTCTTATTTCCCTTTAGTTTAACTAGATCTGTAATATCATTCTTTAAATAGCATGGTTATTTTGATGTTTGGTTCCACAAGTATTCATTAATAGATAACAAGTCAATCTTCACCCAATATTAGTGGACATGACTCATTAGAATTGTTTGCATTCAATAGTAAAATATGAATTTAAACTTTACATTTCATCAAAGTTCTTCTTTCTTTTTGGCCAACTTTCACCAAGGTTCTCTTCACTCTTTATCAATTATCATAAGTTTCTAATATTATATCATCACTAGAAAGTTGAATATATAAGTTATAACCCAATTAAATCTATTCCCTTCAACTTCTAAAGGAAAATATATTGTGGCCTAACTTTTAGGCATGACTCTTAACATTTAAAATAGTTGTAGATGAATTTTAGTTTCACACATTTTTGTATTGATGAAAACAAATGAAAAGAGGTAGCACATAACCAAAACAAAACAAAAATTGAGGATCTAATTGAACAACACTCAAAAGGTTGATGATTGCCCATTTCAATTCACCAAAAATACAAAGAAACCTTGCAATTCCCAACTTCTTTTTTTTTTTAACTTAGGGAATTTTTGAGGTGAGAGAATTAGTAATGCCTTACGGTAAAACTCAAAACTTCATATTCTAACATCTTTCTTTTTTTCTTTTTTTTTTTTGGTTTCCCGACTGGTATCCGGGGTTTTGCCCCGACTAATTCGGATTGACCCGCGATGCGCACCTGAAAATGGTGGGTGAGTCTCTCAATAAAGGCTGCTGCGTACACAAGGTCTCGAATTCGAGATCTTGTTTAAATTGGAACAAACTGCTTACCACTTGATCCAACCCCTAATTGGTTCTAATATCTTTCTATTAAAGGAGTATAACCTCAGTGTTAGACAATTCCCTTTTAACTCGTACAACGGCCCCTTAGGAATATTAAAGACGGGCTGAATAGAACAAGTCCTCCTTGTTCTTAACACTACCACGTGGCAATCACCCTTCAGCACCGGCCCTTTCCTTCCCTCTCTTGCAACACTTGAACGGAGTCTCCTTCTTCACTTTCTCACCTCCTTTATGGGATTTCTTCAATTTCATCGTCTTCCCCAAAATCTCATCTAGGACTCCGGTAACAGAAAAATAAATACCCTACGAAGAAATTTAATCATGGATAGGCTCATTAGTTTGGAGCCATCCAATCTTGTTGCAATCAGGATCGATCCAGGGCAGAAATGTTACGGGGAGCTCACACTGCGCAATGTTATGTACACCACGCCGGTAGCATTCAAGCTGCAGCTGGTGAACAAGCCCCGGTACAGTGTCAAACCCCAACCAGGGATTATACCGCCACTCGTAACGTTGACGGTTGAGATTGTTTACCATCTTCCTCCAGCCTCAATGTTTCCGGACAAGTTCCCTCACTGTGATGATTCATTCCTTCTCCATAGCGTGCTGGTTCCCGGTGCTGCGATCAAGGATCGGTCGTCGACTTTTGATACAGTACCGAATGATTGGTTCAGGACAAGGAAGAAGCAGGTGTTTATAGATAGTGGGACGAAGGTGATGTTTGTGGGTTCCTCTGTTTTGGCTCATCTTGTGATAGATGGGGGAATGGATGAAATGAGGGAGGTATTAGAAAGGAGCGATCCAGGTGGAATCCGGCGGATTCAGTTGATTCCGAGGGGTAGATTCTGCTTCATATTTCTGTGATACAGAGCAGACCTGATATTGTTCAGTTACTCTTAGAACTTGAGGTGGATATTGAGTTGCAGAGTCGCTCTGGCTCCACACCGCTTGAAGCTGCTGCAGGTGCAGGGGAAGCCCTAATCATCGAGCTTTTATTGGCTCACAAGGCCTGCGCAGAGCGGTCTTCCAATTTGGTTCCGATCCACCTTACTGTTGCGGCGGCCATTTGGATGTTCTGAAGGTCCTTATTAAAAAGGCTAACATTGATGCGCTGACAAAGAACGGGAATCGGCCTTACACATCGCTGTTGAAGAAAGAAGAAAGGATTGTGCGCGGCTGCCGCTATCCAGTGGTGCCAAGCCTGATGTTAGGAATTCCAGAGACGGAATACCCCGTTGCATATTGCAGCTGGACTTGG